GGTGGGAGGGGGGGGGGGGGGGGGGGGAAGGAAGGGGGAGGGAGAGTATAGTACAGGGGTGGGGAGAGTGGATTGGGAGGGTGGAGGTGCGAAAAGTAGAGAGAGCTCTAGATAAGTGTCCTGGTTTCGACTGGGATAGAGTTAATTTTTTTCCTAGTAGCTGGTGCAGTGCTGTTTTTCAGCTTCGGTCTGAGAACAACGCTCACAGCACACTGATGTTTTAGTTGTTGCTAAGTAGCGCTTACCCTGATCAAGGACTTTTCTAGTGTCATGCTCTGCCAATGAGGAGGGGCACAAAAAATGGGAGGAAGCAGAGACAGGACACCTGACCCAAACTGGCCAAAGGGGTATTCCATACCACAGCACGTCACGCCCAGTATATAAACTGGGGGAGTCACCTGGGCGGGACTGATCGTTGCTTTGGTCAGGCTGGGTATCGGTGGTGAGCAATGGCATTGTGCAGTACTTGTGTTTATTTACCCTTTTAGTTTTATATTCTCTGCCTTTGTTATTTCACTTATTATTACTAATAGTAGTAGTATATTGTACTTCAGTTATTAACCTGTTCTTATCTCAGACCATGGGTTTTACATTCTTTTGCTTCTCCTCCACATCCCACCTGGGGTAGGGGGGTGTGAGTGAGTGGCTGCGTGGTACTTGGTTGCCAGCTGTGTTTAAACCAAGACAGTAAGTTTCCTTTTGCATTGCCTACAGCCATGTGTAGCCCGGACTGTTGTAGTTTTGTTAAGCTTTATTCTGTGTGTTCAGTGGGTTGGTTTGTTTAACTGGCATTAGTTCCTTGTTCCTGGGTGAGCTCCCAGCTCTGCAGGCAGTAGGGATTGGTGCCTGCTAGAACAGAGGCAGACAAGGATGCCTCCATCCCACTGTACAACAGTGTCCTGGCAGTGTAACTTGAACTTTGCAGGGCAGTATCCCAGCCCTGCACTTGTAACTTTTTCTGCTCAGCCCTGCCAGGGTAGTCACCTTTCTGGACTGATTGCTGTCCTAGCTGTTGCTAAACAAGGGAGCATTTACTGCTTCCTCCTTCAGACTTCTGCCTGATTGTTGTTAATGTGACCCAATCCATACCTCATTTGGTAAGAAAAACAGGGATGGGAGGAAAGGCTTTCAAGCTACATTACTTAATTATCACTGAAATCTCTGTTGCAGCCTTTTGAGTTCCTGAATGAGCATACTGTATCTAGTAATGTATGTAGAGAAGTACTTAGAGGTGAACATTTTCAGATGCAAATCAATGTTCCTAACGCTTGAAATCCTTGGTCAATGCTACTTTTGCAGGGAACTTCCTGGTGCTTGCATTCACCCACACTTCTTTCTTTTCTGCTCTGCAACAACAGTCTGCTGCAGCTGAAGGCTGACAGCCTGTTCTGCTTCCCATTATTCAGGAAACCTTTTCCAAATTAGAACACCACAACTATTAGAAACTCAAAAAATTGAAAATATCATAGGCAAAAAAATGCATTTGAACTGAACTGAAGATTAAAAATGAAGGGTTCTCAATACACAGCATGTTTCTGGGGACAGGAAAGGTGAGCAGAGGAGCAGGCATACCACTGCACCTGCTGGCTCTTCTGCTTCAGGCTAGTGGCAGCCAGGCAATGGGTACTTACCTGCCTGATTTCAGAGAAAAACATTCTCTCCAGATGCATATTTTCTGGTGGAAAGCCATTGAGAGTGATGTACAGCTAAACAGAAGCAACTGGGAGAGCCATTGTGCAAGGGCCAGTTCTGTTGCTGGTACGTTAAGTGTATTACATGTAAATACAGTGAGATGCTAATGCAGATTTTCATCTAAAAAAAATCAGGGAAGCAAGCTGCACATACTGACACATAGCACAGGAAGTGGGGATCATGAAGACACTAGAATAAAACAGTTTTTAAGACCCTCAATTTTGTCTCTCAGGCTTCACAGAAGACTAGCTACAGGGGTGATGCATCCACCTTTCACCTGGATATCAGAAATGAGCCAACATAGCAAAAGTCTATTGCAATCAATGACAGAGAAAAGTGTAACAACAAAAACAGGAGTGTTCTTTCTAGCCATGTGTTTAATGATTTATTTTTATATTGGCACAGTTAGTCCTGGCTTAGCCCACTTTTTCGGTCTTGTCCAGTTGCAACATCCTTACTGTGTACTGTTGTACTTTCCCACATGCCACCAAGTGACACTAGATTACAAAGTAATGCTTTGAAAGGCCAGCACTTCCTCCCTCCTTCAAAGTTAGACTTTGTCCCTCTTTTCTTTTCTATGCATGCTTTTTTACACTGTTTGTCCATGACTCAAAGCATTCTACGACTGCAGGCACCAGCCATGCTCCTGTCCCAGCCTCTCCTGCACGCTGCAGTGTTTGCACTCACAGTCCTTCAGGCCCTTGCCTCCAACACCTTCATTGCAGCGGTCTATGAACACGCCGTCATCCTGCCGGCTACTGCTGATGAACCTGTTTCTCCTGAGGATGCTTTGGCCCTGATGAACAGCAACATGGATGTCTTGGAAGGGGCCATCAAAGCAGCTGCCCAGCAGGTACTAGATGTATTGTGAGTGCCGTCAATTTGTGTTTTCTGCTCCTGGTTGTCTGTTGATGGGTGAATTCTTGTTGTGCCAGGGTGCCCACATCATTGTGACCCCTGAAGATGGCATTTACGGCTGGCGCTTCACCAGAGAAACCATCTACCCCTACCTGGAGGATATCCCTGATCCAGCGGTGAACTGGATTCCCTGCACTGACCCCACAAGGTGATTTCTTCTGCAGTGATTTATATGTTTTTAAACTAGTGTTTCATGGGGTCATGCATAAGCGGCTCCCAGTAAGTGCCCCAAAACTGCTAATGCTTTTGGTAGGAGAGTAAGTTTCAATTAAAGTTGCATGTGAAGGTAAGTTACATGATGAAATATATAGCATGTCCATGTCTAATTGATGAGGGAACCCCACTGATTTATTTTTATTAGACATTTTAAAGAGAAATTCAAACAATATACAGAATTTGGGTTACTGAACGTAGAGAAAACATCTTTTTTTTTTCACTTTGAAAAGTTTTGATACCAAAATATTCTGCTTCTCATTTGCTTTCAGTTTTTTTCACACTATTTTGAGTAGAACTGATTGTAATTCTTAACACTATTTTTTATTTGTTTTGTTGTTTTGTTTGGGTTTTTTGCAAATGTCATATTCGAACAGAAGCACACCGACCATTTTTGTGAACAGCCAAGAACTAGTTTGTGAGCAGCTAATAGCAGAGGTGATTAGGTTAGTGAGGTTAGTAGTCAAAGTCCAAACCTCTGATAGTTACTAACCCATAAACTTTCAATGTTAGTTTTTCACAATTAAGATAAGATATAGTCCGAATTGCTAGAGTCTCAGTGCTGTAGAATGTGATCTGTCATTTAAGCATCATGTTTCAGCAGGGACAAGCTAACTTATAGTTGAGTGCTGGACTTCAGATCCATACAGCACACAATAAGCGCTGAGCCATAGAACTACAGCTGTGGTCTGCCTTTTAACCATGGCTTTCTGCACCTGCTCAATAATGAGCTGCTTAAAGCATGTTATCATATCTGTGAGGATGTAATTCCTCAATGGCCCAAGAGGAAGATTCACAGTGGGGACAAATGCAGGATGTGCAACTTTTTACTGAGACATATGTAGCTAAAATATGCAGAGTCCTTCAGTGAATGTGGGGTGTGGGGTGGCAGCATGTCTAAGCAGGTGTTTATT